TAATGGAATCTTTGTTAGCTAGCAAGTTTACACCGAGAAAATCTTAGAACATTTCCAGATGAAGACTTATTCGATGGCTACTCCAAGCGATCTGAATAAAGATGCTTAATGCTCAACGTGTCCTCTCAACAATATTTTTTATCGGTGAGCAATGGGCTGTCTGACGTATTTGGCCACTGCCACGCGTCCTGATATCGCCTTTATAATGTCAAAGATGGCTCGCTCCATGGACAGACCGACGAAAGGTGACTGGATCGACGTAAAACGGATTTTCAAATATCTGCGAGGCACTAAGGAATACAGTATCCTATAGAAGAAAATGGATTATGATCTGCAGGCATATTCTGATGCAGATTTTGTCGGAGACCCCAAAACAAGGCGTTCGATGAACGGATTCATAACTTTTCGGTGGAGGCGCAATTTACTGGATGAGCAGACTATAGAAATCAGTAGCGCTTTCTACTACGAAAACGAAGTTTGTATCAGCAAGCGGAGATGCTAAGGAACTGATTTGGCAGTTTGCAAGTGAAATTTGTAACAAGAGAATCAGGAAATTTATATTGTTTGTTGATAATGCCGGGGCAGTAAAACTAGCTAAGAATCTTGAATTCTATAAAGATCTAAACACATCGAAGTTCGATACTATTTCGTTCGAGAACGATACCTAGATGAAATTGAGTGTCAAACACATTGATGGACAACTTTAATTAGCGGACATTTTTACAAAATCTTTAAACAGTAACAGGTTTATTAATTTGAGAAGTCTGATGGGCGGCTAAAATTTAGATGTAATTGCTAAGTAGTTCCGTTCTTTATTTACTTCCTCTTTGTATTTAATATGTTTAGTTTTTACAGTTTTCTATTAGGAGAAAATATTGAAAATAATAACAATAAAACTGTAAGAAGCTGTTTTCTATTGGGTTTTATATATATTATGTCGAATTAGAGAGGAGACATTTTTTTTTCTTTATGCTGTATATATCAAGATGTCCGCCGCTGTGATTATGTATCAACGTTTTTTCTAAATGTTCTGTTTATTTTTGATAAAAATAAAACTTCTGGTTCGATTCATTAATCACTGATTCGTTCTCTACATCACATAATAACAAAATTATGAAAAAATTGCAGATTATTTTAAATCATTTAAAAATAATATGACAAGTTTGATGATAGTTTACTATTCTGGATCATAAATTATTTTAATAAATAATTATAAACAGTATTTTTTATACTACTCTAAAATTTTAATATGTGCTATAATAAAAATGTATTATATAAAATGAATAACAAAAATCTTAACTTTTTAATATAAGCATCGTCTGCACTAATTGTTGTTTATCAGTAATCTCGGCCCCTGATTACTCAGCCAAGAACTCTGCGATGATGGCGACATAGAATCAGACGGCGGTTTGGCGAAACCAGTAGCCACACACTTAAGCATCAGGTTATGTGCTCGCCTGTGGCGCGCTAAAAGTGAACGAGACAGCGAGTTTCTTTTTACACTAATTACACTAATCTCACTTGTTTCAAGCGATCGAAAATGCTTTCTCAGCCGTTCCGTGGCATCAATAAGGCGCGGGAAGGAGAAGGAGGGGTGGAGCATTCTAAATAACATATAAGTTTTATTATTAAATTGTAGTAATAGTGTACCCTTCCTATTAATTCAGAATAGTAATTCAGAATAATCCAGAATAGTATAAATCATTAAAACGCAACAATTTACGAGATATTTAATTTACGATTTTTTATGCGTATTATATAGTATACTTCTTCTTCATAAACTCGAATAGCAAGAATAGTTCAGTAGAAGTAGAATTTTAACCGGAAAAAAATTATAAATCAGTATTTCTCTTCACGAAAGTCTCGAAAGGTCATCAGAGAAGAAAGGCGTCTGTTTGAGAGTCGAAACTTGTGAAGAAAATATGCGAAAAAAATCGAATAGTTACAAAAAGCACGTTTTTCGCTTATAAAACGAAAGATATTGATTGTATGAAAAAAATCTCGGTATAAAAAAGAGATATTCGAAATACCTACAAAATGAGACATGGAACATTAAAAAAAAATGGATCTATTAATTTAATAGAAAAAAAATAAAAAATACCGAAAAACACCTTTTTTCATTCGCTCTCTGTTCATTGAGATTTCAACACAAAGCTTTGAAATTCTCATAAAATGTAGCCCTCGTAATGACGAACAAATTTACCTCTGAATAAGCCTGAAATGTTCATTAATTTTTGCAAAAAACTATTTGTTCATTAAAAATCTATCTGCGGAAAACTTAATTTCTTCAACTTTGAGCACAGCAATTTACAGAGGTGATTTTTCTTCTTCAAGAGTTGCACTATCATGTACACTTAATAACAAAACGATTTTTTGCAGTTAAACTATTATAAAATGATTTTAAAAAGTGGGTATCTTTTTCCATATAAAAAAATGGAAATAATTTTGTTAATATGCATCATATCAAATAGCCATGTGAAGCATTCAAAATCTGACATTTTTCTACAAATTTAGAAAGAAAGATTACCCTTCGATTATCAGGAGCCGAGATAATAATTTTTTTTACAAAAAATCACTGTGGTTCTAGTTCTTAAGGTTAAGAGTTCCGTCTGGCACCAATTTATCAAGAAAGAATTGAATTTGCTGAAAGAATTGAATTTGCTTAAAAAAATCTCGAATTGTAACCATGAAATTTTTAGTTTAAAAAATTTTTTCTTTCTTGAATTTTTATTTTTTCGATTTATTACTAAAAAATCATGTTTGAGTATGGAACGCATGTCCGATTAACATATTTGAGTCATATGAGTTATGTTTCTTTATTTAATATTAAAAAATGTTCAATTGGATAATTAAATGTATAGAATTATCAGTACAAAAGTGTTTTTGTGAATTTAATTGCAGATGCAAATATGACATATGTGATAAATCGAAAAAATAAAAATTTAAGAAACAAAAAATTAAAAATTTCATGGTTACAATTACTTTACAAAACATTTAAGTTATTTGTTTATCTCGAGCTGTCCCAAATTTGAAAAAAATCAGATTTCCACATCAATTTATTGCTGAGAAAATGTAAATTTAGCAAATTTTAACGCATTTTAACGCGAAATCAAATACATGCGAATTGTCGAGGACCAATTTTCCCCACTTGATTGCGCACCAGTTTTCTTCACTTCGCCCGGCGCACTGTCTCGCTCGCGTTTTTCAACTTTCCAATGATTTTAAAAAATTTTTTCGGCAACAAAAAATTCGAGAATTTTTCAATAGCAAATTTAATTCTGCCTTGACAAATTATGCTAGACGGAACTCTTAATCTTAAGAACTAGAGCCACAGTGATTTTTTGAAAAAAAATTGTTATCTCCGTTTCTAATAATCAGAGAGTAATCTTTTTTTTTAAATTCGTAGAAAAATGTTTTCTACGTCAGATGTCAGATTTTGAATGCTTCACATGGCTATTTGATATGATGCATATTAATAAAATTATTTCCATTTTTTTAATAAAAATTATATTATAAAAAACGGAAAAAGATATCCTACTTTTTAAAGGCGTTTTATTATAGTTTAACAATTAATTGAACTGCAATTAAACAATTAGTTTAACTGCAAAAAAATCGTTTTGTTATTAAGTGTACGATAGTCTACCTGAATATAGATTCATTTACATACCTTTTACTGACTGTCAAGGGAAGAAAAAACAGTTTTCATCGATTTTTATAAGTGTTTTAAAATAATCTCTTCATTTCATTTTATCAAAATTGTCTTTATTTAATAATGGCACACAATATAATGTTCCTCGCTTCTGACGTCACGATTCCAACATGGCCGCTGCGACTAGTCAGGAGTAATGAATCCTTAATTCGGAATGATTTTGGTGTTTTCTGAATGATGCTAGCATCTTTTCATGTATTCGTAGCGTATTGTTCGATAATCTTCTCGTTCTATCTGTCAAAATCAAAACGTGCACATGTAATCTGTCTATAACGTCCAATAAATCATTTATATCTTCTATTTTGATCAACTAACAAATTAATAGAACGATTAACCAGTTGACTGACAGACTGACTAATCGCTGGAGGCTATGCGAAAATTTATAGTAAAGATGTGACAATATGATCATTTTGAAAAAGAATCCTTAGTCCAAATATAATATCATGCAAAAATATAATGCCTCGGTTAAAGATTCATACCTCAGCCAAAAGTATACGAAAAATGAAGATCATTTCAGGATTTTATGTATTATACTTACATCATCAATGCTTTATATCAGCAGCAAAGATACAATGCTTCGAACAAAAGTATATTCGGTCAAAAAGTATATGAGAAGACGTCGATTATAATGTTATTGCAAATTTCTATATTGTATGGGTATAAAACTGTGTTGTTTAATAAAAACGGAATATTTTGAACACAATTTATATCTGTATACATATATATGTATATATGTATGTATAGTTTGTTTAAAGTATAAATATTAACATAATATTTGTAAAAATGATACCCATATATTAACACCCCATAAATTAACACTCAGATGTTCTAAAAATTCTGTATAACTAGACAACCGATTCAAATATATGTATTATTTACATTATACCGACCCAATCTATATAGAAACTGGAAGCATATTTTTTTCAGAAAATTAACATTTATTATGTATTAATTAACACATATTTAATTCATTCGTCTTAAAATTTATATTTTAAAACAAATTATTTTTATGTTACTTGTTCACTTATTCATAAATTGTGTCATTTTGATACTAATAAATATTGAATATCAATTTTCAGTAAAATCTTTAAATGACATAATGTATTTTATTATATTGAATTAACACTCGAATATTATAAAAAATTTAACACAAACAACAACGTGAATAGATCGTTTCCAATACAAATTTTACTGCGTATAGAAGAAATCAATTTGGTATGAAGACGTCAAATTTATGAAAGCAACTGATTGTAATGTATCTGTAAAGAAAAAATGCTTGTATTTGTTGCAGATACTACATGGCTACTTCGGAACGCGAATCGGCAGTTCAGCATTTGTACAGAATATCACTGGATCTAGGGTACAAGTCGACGTGTTTGACTTGTAACATTGTCAAAGAGAGTGATGGCAGTCGCTGTTTGTATAACAGTGCTAAATTCTCCATTGACAATTCGCATTACGTGCTTACTTGCGCCGGGCCCGGAGTACCCGATATAGCTATCTACAATAAGGTATGTATATATCTGATGCTTTTCTATTTTATAGCACTTCCTAAAACTCGTAAATTATTTTAAAATTTGAAAAAGTGTTTTATTTAAATTTCTTTAATAAAAAATTTAAAGAAATTTTGCTAAAATGTAAAAATAAGATTTTTATATTATCAGTTATTCATTGGTAGCAAATAGGTAATTACGAAAACTGGTTTGAATTTAATTAATAAAAAAGATATAAATCTTTAGAGTTAGCAGCGATGAATAATTATTATTCGAAACACAAAGAATTATGTACTTATTTTTTGATTAAATACAGATACGCGATAGGTTTATACACATAAAAACTTCAGAATGACATAGAATATAATTATGCATTCCTTGATTTGCATAAATTATGCATAAATTCCAATCTTTGAGATTAATATCCAATTAATATTCATAATTCAAAATAATAAGCATAATTCGTAAAATTTGGATCTTTAATTTCATCGAAAGGAATCGTAATAGGTCTCATATATTCTCGCTTTCTCTCGTACTAGTTCCAGCTTTGAGTGTTATTGCTGAATAGCATGTTTGATAGATTTCATCAATCATTACGTTGTATACGATCCGAATTTCTACAAATTTGGATCTCTTT